TATAGAATCCCGCCCGTCAAACCAAACCGCGGTATAGAATCCCGCCCATCAAACCAAACCGCGGTATAGAATCCCGCCCGCCAACCCAAACTGTGGTAAATAATCCTGCCTGCCAACCCAAACCGTGGTAAAGAATCCTGCCTCAAGGTCGCTTGATGCTGAATTGCGGGCCCACTCCAAGTCCTCAGATCCAAGCTGGGAGTGGCAGAAGCTTTCTTTTGTGCTGGAGTTGAAAGGGGTTGTGCAAGATGAGGAGGTGTTGCGCGCCCAGAACAAGATCAACAGCGCGCTGCAATCTTCATTGCAAGCGGGGTTTGCATTGTTCGAAACCAACCTCAGCAATGATCAAATCCACCACAGGCGCTACTTGCTGGCATCAAGCGGTGATGAAGCAAAGGCTCGTGCAGCAGTAGTCGCAAGCTTGGAGGCTTGGAAGACTCAAACATTGGTATCAACCCTGGGTGTTTGATTGGAATTCATACTTCAAAAAAGGATCCCCTGATTAGCTCATTACCTCAACCCTGCCAGAAAATGCACAACATTGCATGGAAGTTGGTGAACAACACCATTACAGAGATCTGCCCCACTTGGTGCGCTGCTGTGCAGAACAAGAAGCTTTCAACGGCAAGCGACTTGCTTTGTCATCAACTAGGCGGTTGGTTGAACACCCCACTAACTGTTCTTTCATCTTGGATTTGGGATTCATTTGATGTAATTTATTGTATGTATATTATTATGTTTTCTATTTGTATAATATATTATGTTGCTTTATATGTATATCGTGTCTTGAGTTCCCTCACAGACTCACCAAAGGCCCTGATACGACTACCGACAGTTCAGGGATCATGGAAGCGAGGCTCCAACCGTGGCTTCTCGAGACACTTCCAGGCCTGAATTCAGGGGTCAGGCGGATGGACAACGAGTGCATCTTAGCTTTCTGCAATTTGGCATCGCAAGGGGTTTTGCCAACGGACAAGCTTCATTATGCCCTGCAGCAGATCACAGTGCTGTCCCACTCCCACTCAAAGACGTTCATGGCTGTGGTGATCATGCCCAACCGGGCTGGCGACCTTCGATCGTCACCAGCAAAGTGTGAACCTCTGTTGTTTTTAGTCATTGGATATTGGCAGGTAGTAACTGTTGTTTGAAAAATTGGGTCTAGCTGAGTGCCAACAATCTCTTTAGACTCTGTGCAAGGTCTGAGGTCAAGGCAGAAGGCAGTGATGATGATGCTGGTGCTGCAGGCTCTCCTGGAGTCAAAAACGGTATGTTTCCTAGTCCCCCCCTGTTGATTACAATCAGACATAGTGACAATGACAATTAATTGTTAACTGTTGTCGCCTGTTTCCATACAGTGGTATCAGATTTAATATCATATTAATCTATAATAATAGTAACACCCTCTAGACTCTAGCTAGTAACTCTGAACAGGCGACGGTGAACACGCAGAGGAACCAGATGAGGATGATGATGAGGACGACTCCAAGAACACCTCGTCAGCTGAAACCATCCTCCGGGACTTCAACTACCGACTTCGCTGCATGTTCATGGATCGGAGCAGAAACCTTCGAGTGCCTCAGCCCCAAATCCTTAAACTTGGAGTCTGACCCTAGCCTGTTTTATTGTGAGTGGAAACCATAATGTTATATATTTTGCACTTTCCTGGAATAAGGGGGGAAATCAGGTGAAGCAGGCCATGGTTGCCTTCGAGCCGAGCTCAGTGTATGGAAGCCGCTCTGGATTCCAGGAAGTTGTCTTGATCACGGCTGCTGACCCCAAGAATGTCTTCCACAAGACATCGCTGTGGAAGCAGGGGGTGGTGACTGGGGTCAGCATGCTTCCAAGGCAAGACATGGTCAAGCCATCAAGGTTGGACTCACGATGGGGCGCTGACTCAAGGTTCACCAAAGTCCAAGAGATGAAGCAGGACTGGACTGACTCTTAATGGACTGGACTGGAGTTCAAAAATGGACTGGACTGACTCTTAATGTTTCCAGGGTTGACTTGTAGTCTGAGTGTCTCTGCTTGCATGTCCCTTGCCCTTTGCTGGTCCCTGTGGCAGTATTGCGGTGGCCCATCCTTCATTTCGAAGCTTTTGGAATCCTCAGCTCCATCTCCGGACACACCCACCGTTCTGCTGGATTTGTTTGGCTTCGACGCGTGGCCAGGCTGTGTTGCAGTGTCCCAGGCAGCCAGAGGAACTTGGGCTTCAAACCCTGCTTGAAGTTTTCTGGACAACCCTTTCCCATTTGAAGTTATTCCTTTCAATTTTACCTGATTTTACCTGCCATCCTTTTCAATTGTTTGCATTCAGCCAGTCATTGACTTAGGAAAGAAGATAGCTTGTGCAACTATGTGCCACACCAAATCGGAGGCGGCTTTTGTGAGTGGAACTTTGTCCACCAAACTGTTCGCTATGGCACGATCTGGTGAGTTTCGCATTCAAGGTTTTCCAGACTTTGGATCGGCGCTCAGCGAGCTCAAGCAGTTTCAGCGTTCCCCCCAACCTGAATACCAGGTTTGCGTGGCTACTGGTGATGGAGCCCTTGTGGTGCGGCAAACCCTGGTGGATTTCTGGACCATCAAGCACAGCAGCTTCTCTCAGAAGATGAATGACCTGCTGCAAGCTCATGACAATGAGTTCAACCCGAACAAATTGAAGAGGGGAGCAGAGGAAACCACAGAGGCTGCCCAAGAAGAAGACAGGCCTACAAAGAGATTGTGCTTGGCAACATCCATCACCATGGGCGAGTTGGAGCAAAACCACCCTGAAATTGAGAGGACTGAACATCCCACTGGTCATCCCACACATCCCAAACAATCTTGTCTTAACGTTTGCCAGGTTGGCTAGTTGTACAAACTATAATAAGATGTAAATCAAAACAAACCTTTCCTGTCCATCTTTAAAAAATCACTGCGCGCCGGCCCCATGTCCAACCAGCCAGGACAACTTTGAACGCTGGACACTGCGCCCTCCATCATTGTGAAGCTGATGGCTCTTTGTGGGTTGGCTGCTCCAGTGCGCATACCCTTGAAGAGAACACTGAACTCTGGGGGTTTGGAAGTGGTGACTTTGCTAAGGGATCCGAGGCTGCTGACTTGATTTCTGACACTTCAGCTGATGGCCGGTGGTTGCTCTTTGCATTGAAATCTGGCGATGAGTCTGTGATCCTAGAAAAGCAGCGCAAAGTCCCAGATCACCTTGAAAGCGCAAGCTTCTTCAACAAGGCTAGCAGGTATTGGAAACATAATGAAAGAGGCTTATAATGTTTGTTAGTTTATGAGAGTGTGGAAACAGGTCTGAAGCTACAATTAAATAGCCCTACCACCCGGCCCTGCTTGCTAGGTCATTACGCTGAATGAGCTGCTCAAGAGTTTGGAAGACAGCGGAGAGGTCAACATTCAGATTGCCGAGCACAAGCTGGAGAAGGATTCTGCAGGGAACTTTTCCGTGGCACCTCTGAACAATGTGTGCTTCACCCTGGATGCAGTCAAACCCAAGAAAAAGAAAGCGAAGGTGGATAGTCTGTCATTTATGCATTGTTTCAATGCAACATGTGATTATTATATAACAATTTTTATTAATATGTTTTATTATATAATAGTCTGTCACCGTCACCCTTGCCCTGTTTCAGGTGGCAAATGCTTTGACTTTTGGAGCAAAGCTGGATATGTCCAAGATTCGCGTTTCCAGCAACATCAAGATCTTGTGGCGCATGAGGCATGGTGCATGCGCTCAGAAAAACATTACTTACTCGAGACACCCACCCTTACATTCGCAGGAGGGTGCATTCTTTGGTCCTTTTGGCAAGCCTTTCCAGGTGTATTTCAGTTTGTGTCTAGAACATGTTGCCTACAACCCTTGCCAAGCGTCCCACCGACTGCTCGCCCTCGTGTCCTCCAGGCTCCATATCGACGCCAGCTCATCAGAGCCATCAACTCAGTTGGTGCCAGTGAGGCCATGCGCTGTGACCGGAGGGAGCATCTGTCTCAAGCCAGATGAGCTTTTGAAGCTTTTGTAGGAAGGGTCTGAAATCATGATCCATCTTTCGTTTGGTTGTCTTAGGCAGGGAAGCGTAACGTGTCTTTAACCTCTCACTGGGGAAAAGGTCATATCCATCAGGATTCAAGAAGACTCTGCAAATATAGAAGATGCAAATATATATTATAGTATATGCTCGACATATAGTCTATTATATTGTGTGGATGATACATCATCACAGGATCATTGTTCTTCATGTCATGGTGGTGATAGAACGTCACAGTACCATTGTTTATGTCATGGTGGTGACCTTTTATATTTATAGTTGAGAGGTTTTGCGGTTACAGGAACCTTGCCCCTGAGACTTTCTGGGGTAAAGGATTTACATTTCAGCCAGCCGCTAGTTGAAAAGTCGATCTGCCCTGCTCACCCTTCCAACCTTCACAGCTTTGAGAATCTGACTTCAGGATGTTGTTCCCTGTCACTGTCTCGAACGCTTTGTCGATCTGTGTCATCAAGTGTCCGTGCGACGCCCTGTCCCAGTCTTGGCCTCTTGCCTACATTTTGCAATGGAGATGCCTGGCCAAGGGGTGGCAGGGAACATTCTGTCAGCCCCGTCATTTTCTATGGCAGACTACAGTATGCTCTTGGAGGGGGCAGACCGACGCCCGACACCTAAAGCCAAGACAAAACCGAGTCTGGCTGCTACTACACCCAGTTCAGGAGCAGTTTGTGATGCATTGGAAGTAAGCCTAATAGCTACTAACTACTAAGTGTCATCCTAACCTGCAGTCATTCTCTTGGGAAATAATGAACTCAACTTGTAACTTGTAACTTGCTTGGCAGGATTGCTACAACGCTGTGAGGTAGAGGGTTCTGACAGCTTGGAGCAAGACCAGTCGGAGGAGTCACCTCCAGCACAGGTGGCCAAAAGACCAGCCACCAAGACTGTAGTGCAGAAGAAACAGAAGAAGGATGAAGACCCAGACATTGACACCAAACTGGGGGCTTGCAAGGGCAATGATGGTGATGATGAGGATGACCCTGAACCGTGTGATGATGGTGAAGACACTAGACCCAGAAAACGTCCTGGCCGAAACTCCAGTCCGAAAGGGAAGAAAGAGAAGAAAGAGAAGAAAGAATCAAAACGAGACAAGAAGAAACACAAGAAGCGAGATCATGCGGCATGTAGCAATAGCTCAGAGAGTGAACCAAATTGCTATGAAGATGTCAGTGCACAGTGTTTGCAAGAAGCTTTTGACAATGTTGCACTTGCTGACGCCCTTGCCCTCGACCCGGAGCCCCACGTCCATGGCAATATCGGTTCACCAAAGGCAGGGATTGTCATTGCAAAAGCAACCAGTGGTCTAAGGGTAAGGTCCATGATGGGGTAATTCAATTAATGTTGTCAACATTCAGGGGTTTGAACCCATGCCATGGAACTTTAGTCCCAGAGATTGCTCGGTAGGTCCTGCAGTCGAAGTCCCTGGAGTACATGCCCGAGGTCCATCCAGCTGAGACCCCAAAGGACTGTCTTTAGGTCATGGGTCAAAGACCTTCCAAACATGGCTCATACATAGTATCCAAAGAGGTCTTAGGTCATGAGTCATTGGTCGATCTTTCCTACCCTTGGCTCGTGGCAGGACTTGGAGGACTTGTCGAACTCTGAGCTCTTCAGCGCTGGATTGTTGGGGGTGGAGGACTGCAATCACTGAATTCTGAATCTTTCAACTGCTGGCTAGTGACATGTTGATTGGGACACCCAGCAAACCAGGTGTCAGAATGGGTTTCAGGTCTCTCTCAAATTGGCGATTGACTGCAAGCATTTTGGCTTCAACACCAAGTGAAGGCCTGCAGGTTAAGGTAGTAAGTAGGTTACTATGTCATCTGGGTCATGGCAAAGGGTTCTGGCTTTTGTGCCTCATGACGCCCCAGTGAGGCCAGCGTCAGGACCAAAACAGTCTATGGGTCCAGTGACAGCGCCACCGCCAGTGGGACCAGGAGGCATGCGGGCAGGACCTATTGGGACAGTGGTGGGACCACCTACTTTGTCTCCTATGGCTCCCCAACCAATGTCAACGGGGACCGGCTACACTATGATGGGAGCAGCAATGCCAGGTTCATCCACAAAGAATGACATTCATTGCACTGATGAGCCTATGAAGCCACCACCAGGCCCTATGACTCCACCAGAAGGTGTCAAACACAATGTAGCTGGACCTGTTGCACCAGAACCTGCGTCAGCTGAATCCTTGTCTTCGTCAGGGAATCCACCATCGATGTTTCCAGGACTACTCGGTCATCCAAAACTTGGATCAGTATCACCACCACTGGCTTTGAATCCTCCAGTGATCGCACCAACATGTGGCACTCCACCCTCAACCGTGATTTCTGAGGGGAAGGGCAAAGGCAAGAAGGAACCAGAGCATGAGATGGTCTTCTGCTCTGAATCAGATTCGGAGCGAGAACCACAGGGAGCAACTCGCGGGGTGAAGCGGCCAGCTCCAGCAACCTCGCCTGCACCAAAGCTCATGCCCGTCGCACCACGTCCAAAGGTCAAAGGTCAGAAACCTGAGGTGTCAACTCACTGGTCGAAGAAGGAATCATGGAGCCAAGACTGGAACTCAGGTCGTTGGAGCCCTGAAGAATGGTCTAGCTGGACTGGCTGGAGCTGAACTGGTGAAGAAGAACTGTGAGTTTGAAATTTTGCTTTTAAGGGTTCGCGGAGCCGTGAGCAGTGAAAAGCAGTCATTTCAAAACAATAGACTTCAAACTACCACCTGGTGACCTGTTCCTTGGTTCCAGATTCAAACGTGTTCCTGCTGCTGGGTGGCTCCGCACCTGTACCCATCTTCGATCCCGCTCGATCCTGTGTAATGCTGAGACCATCGCATCGCAGCAATGAAAAAGTGGAAGAGTCGAAGATCACCTGTCACATTCTGATTGAACTCTGTCAGACTCTCCTTCATGTCTCACTTCCCCTCTCTCTTTCTCTTACTTATAGTTGTAACTCTTATACAGTTTCACCATGCCCTTGGTGAGGAGCTGCCACGTGAAGAGCCAAGCGAAACACAGGACCCTCACCTAAATCAGTGTCAAACAGTCAGTGAACTGTACGCTTGCATGTTGAAGTTGCAAAAATGTCACAAGACTTCAAACATTTGATTTAATCCCAGTCTGTGTTCCTGGTGGGAGGACCCCTTTTTGCTACATTTAAAGCAATTGGCGGACGACTGCCACGTCAAGGATCCTGTGGAGGCTAGGGATGAGCATTTCTTGGCAAAGAAATCCATGGTGGGATAACAAACCATTTCATGTTTTCCCCAAGGCCTTCCCAGAGATGCAGCCCCAGGCCTTTGTGAGTGAACAGGAGCCACGACCATCCGCCATCTTTGACCTGATTCACTTTTTGTTGGTAAAGAAACACATCTTGACAACTAAAACAAGGAGCAGTCATGAGCAGTCGTCCTTCCTTTGTATTGTGCATTCCATCTGCATTATAATATAATACTGCTTGCATATTTACAGATTCCAGGTTCTGTATTGACTCACCGTCTATTGTGATGGCATTGGAAACCGCTTGTTGGCAGGAGACCTCAAAGGTGGAGATCTTGGAGACAGCACTTCCCAAGGACTACTGCATTCCAGGACTACTTCATTTGCAGTGGTCAGTCGGCCTGTCAGGAGATACCACTTGTGGACCTTGAGGTACCACCATCCCCTCCAAAAGAGGATGCGATGGATGTGACAACGTCCCTGAACTTAATATAGTGTTCTCATGTTGACAACTCTTCCAGAGCGTTCCATACCAAATGTTTTTCTCACTGCCTTACATTGCACTTCTTCTGAGTTTTCTTTCCTTGGTGTTTTCTGTTTGATGTTTGACCTTCTATTGAGTTTTGATAGCCTGCGCAGCTGGCACAGCCCAGGTCGCCAATCCCAGAGCGGAAAGCACACCCTAAAGCAAAAGCACGTGGGACAGCAGCAAAGTCCAAACCAAAGCCAAAACCGAGTCCTAAGACAAAGCGTGTAGCCAAGGCAAAGAACAGTGCAAAAGCTTCAAAAGCAAAAGCAAAAAGCAAACCGAAAGCAAAAGCAAAAAGCACACCAGGCCGTGGAAACACATCGTCCGCGAAGCGACCAAGTCCCAAACGCGCGGGAAGCAAGACAATGGCAAAGAAACCGGTCAAAATGGACCCAAACAACATATACAGCCGCGCATACCATCGCGCAATTCGCGCAGGGTGTGCCAGAGAACAGGTGGGGTGCAATGTGATTTAATATGATGGACAAATCAATGTGAAGTGTGACTTGCTGAAATCTCTCTCTCTCTCTCTCTAATCTCTCTCTAGTGTAACTGTAGCTGTCTGTGAGGCAGCTGGGATCGGAAGAGATGCAGTTGCTCGTGCCACTGCAGAGAAGGAAGGTCGCGTTTTGGTAGATCCTGGTGACGTTTGTTGGATCTAAGATGATTCAAGTTGGAACTAAGCTTCCAGCGCATCGACAGAGCCGGGGGTGAGGCTTTTGAGCAAAAAGACATGCGGATGTGTGTGTGTGTGTGTGGTTGGGGGGGACGTGACAACCTTACCCATGACACACCTCATGGCATGACAAAATGAGCAATTTTGAGTTCTGGTTCCTCCTGGGAACAGTTCTGGTTGCCATGACAATCACTTTAATATGTTAATATTCTCATGACATGCAGCACTTGTTCGGCTGCGCCCTCACATTTCACTCCGGTGACACATGCTACCGTGCCAGTTTCGCTTGGACCACTCCATAGCTTTTGGAGAGGGTTTCGGATGGAAACGTGACGTGTCAGATTCGTGTGAAATAGCGAGGAATCGTGTGGAAATGTAAGCTGTAAGATGTTGAAGTGTGGAGGATGATTTCACTGCGCAGGTGCAGCGTTTTGTGAGATCCGCAGTTTGCTGCGCAGTTCCTTCGCGTTTGGAGAGTCGTGTTTTTGGGGTGTTGGATGTGGCCGTGCCATTGGGATTTGCGATTCAGGGTGTGGCATC